CACAATCAGCGGGAGAACTAATCGTCTTAAACATTTTGAATGTGCACAGCAAACTGAAAACACAACATAGAGCAACCAAAATGGCGACAGTTGAAAGTCAGTGAACAAGAAAGACAAGTGCGCATGCGCGGGACGCCTACCACAGTGCTGCGACGGCGCTAGAATGAAACGATACTTAGTTTCCGAATACGCTACATACAATACGTACAGCATTACTGTGCATAATCTCTGTATCATGAAATGTTGTACTACCATCATACAATTATTTTTATCCATACATTTTATCTTTGCAGCGACAAGAATTGCAAAACTGGAAATAGTACCTCAAATGAGGTACTGTATTTTCTTTTTAAAATAAAATCCACTTAATGCAATTTTTTTAGACATGAATGTAAATATGACTTCCCCGTTGAAATAACAGGGTTGCCACTCAAACAGCAGAATGAAATTCCCTGACTTTTCCAGGTTTTCCAGGTATGTTTCAAGAAAATTCCAGTCTATCCGCATAATGTACGTTGGCTGTGCTAAAAGGTAAATTAATTATGGTATTACGGTCAAAAGTCGTTAATTCGGACACCCATAATTCGGAATGATCTATAATCCGGACCTCAAAGCTAAAAACTTTCTGCGCATGCGCCGCGTTGACACATGCGCATAGGCGTTTACGCGTGCGCGTAAGACCTCTTACAACTGCGCATTTGCATGTGCGCAAGCGCAGAATACATTTTCGCGTGCGCGTTTTATGTATAACGGACGGTGTAAGCTAAAATTATCTAATTATCTATTTCAGTTAATGTTGATGATTGCATTGTTCCTTAATTTTCGAATTGGATCCAGCTTATTATTTTTTTCAGACTGTAAGAGCAATACTATAAAAGTAAACTTGAACTTTCGATTATGTCAAATAGAATTTCCGAATCTGGAGCTCCCAAAGGATCGTACAAAACGAAATTATGTTTCGATGTCCATCAAACAAAAAGTGGAATTGCTGCAAAAAATGGATAAAGACATGAAGAACGTGACAGAGAGGTTAGTGAAAACGAAAAATTTCGATTGACAAGTTAGTCGGTATTCTCGGCACAGCAATTAATGGGACTTGAACAGCGGAACTTTGTAAGTGAACAAAAAATTATGTCTGTTTATAGAATTAAAGAGAAAGTATTATCACATAAAACGAAGCAACTTAAACAACTTACATTGAAAGAAATGTTTAATAAAGTAAACAAATAAATATTAAGCTTTTTTTTTTGTGAATTTTGATACCCTTTAGATCATAATTGTTCTTTATTTCATAAATTACGGTTTCATATTTTTAATTTTAGAATTTCTGCATGCCATCTTACGCGATTTAAACTGATGATCTATAATCCGGAAAAATCGATAATCCGGAATCGCCGAAGTCCCGACGAGTCCGGATTAACGACTTTTGACTGTACTTGTACTGTGTAGCAAATTCACTTAATTGTTCAATAAATCCCAGAGGACATTTATTCTTAATTATTCTTGGTACACTTTGATAATTTTGTTTACTTTTCCACTTAAGAAACTTAATAAAATTTAAGATATATACATTGGATAACAATTGTACGTTTTATTTAATTATTACTCATGATCATCACCAGTTCAACATGAGGCTAATCCGGTTCTTATAAATCACAATGCAATGCTAAAAGTTAGGTTAGATTTTAGGTAACTTTAATTTGTGTGAGGTGTCTTCTTAAAAGGCACCTTAACACTTGAAAACACAAATATAATTATAATAGCAGTTGTTTTCTCCACTGAAGATTGAGATTAGAATCTCCCCAATCTGGAATAAAATAAGGCATTTTTTGCAGACATTCTGCAGCTAAATGAAAGAAAGAAATCTATTTAATGATTTTTTTTTACTAAATTGAGGTATTTTATATTTATTTCGCAACATACATAAGGAAAAAATATGTGCATTAAATTTCGTGATGTCACATACTGCTAGAATTAATTTCAGGATTATGCCAGAGAAAATTTCTTGAAATTTGGAAATATTATTTACTAATGATAAATAAATTTAGAGGGAAGAAACAACATTAAATTATATGAATAACATAAAAATAAAGATAATTGCTTAAAAATTGAATTAGAATAATCAACGATATTTTAGTGAATATAGTTATATTACATGGTTAGCCTAGATGACTGATTACTATTTTTTTATTTTACTGCAAAATGACAAGGTATTTATCAAAAAGAAAAAAAAAAAAAAAAAGTTTTGCGGTAAAATCCTAGTATACAGTACGGCCTTCGCACGATTTTGAAAATTGTCGCCAAGAACAAAATGACTTGTTTACTGCTCATCATCATGTCGCCAAATCCTGCTGTACCATACACGGAGATTATTCTAACCAAAGAACGTCTATGTAAAGAAGAAGAGGTTCCATACACGTAAATGCTATTAAGCGGCTAGAAAGTGGAGGGAAAATTTGCCAAGGGATTTGGCGACGGAACTTGGCGGCCATAATTTCCCTCTCCGCGATGTGTACAGGAAATTGAGAAACACGTGTTAAGAAGAAACGTTCTTTGACAAAAAAGAAAAACTACGAAAATCAATCCTTTTTTAAATTATGCGAAAATTCCAAGAAGAAACGTTTTATCAAAGAACGTTTTTTCTTGGATTTTTCGCAATAATTTTAAAAACGGATTTTCGTAGTTTTTTTTTTCCTCTCCTCAAAATAACTAATTCATGAATTAATTTACTTGCGCCAAAAAATATTTTCTTTTCCTTTAAAGAAATTTTAAACGATATTCATTTTATGAATTCTTGATAATTTCAGATACAGATTTCGTTAAATTAACTAATATGGCTAGATTTTTGGCACAAGCATTTTTCCAAAAACTACAAACTTTGAGAATATTGGATTTTGCACATCATAAAACTTGAACAGTTTTTGTGAAAACTACAAAAATTTCATAAAAGTTGGCCCATTCATTCCGCCAAAAATACATTTCATCAACATTTTCTACTATCGTGTTAAGTTCTTAATTACATATTAACACGTTTAGTATAAAATTTAAAGGTATGATTTCTATTAAATTTTGAAAATCATCAACAGTTACAGAAAATGCAGTTTTACCAACACTTCATGCAAGAAGAATTTTAATATTAATTCTTCATAAATAAACATTTTAAAATCAAGCAATGAATATGTCAAAGAAATACCCACTTTCGGCTATTTAAAATTTTTTTCAAATGGATGTTAAAATATTATTTAAAGGAAAAAATATTTGTTAGTTAAAAATTTTTGTCATGAATTTTCATCACAATTTAAAAATTCAGATGTATGTAATAGCCGGTTTTATTTATAGAATGAAAATGTCTACATCATCTGATTTGGTGGGAGCACACACAAACAAAATTAATAACACATACTAAAATATGTTCATTATACCAATGTTTCTGTTCCTACAAGCATTTTAAATTTTTCTGTGAATTTTTTTTAATAACAGGAGTGTAACCAAGTAATAAAAAATCTCATGACCAGATAAAAGTCTTCATACCACTCAAAGGCTTAAATAGGGCACATGACTGGAAGCAGTGATTACATAATATTTTCAAAGTAAAGATCATCTCTAAGAAACTACATTTAGACAACTTTCTAATAATATCGGGAGAAACCTAATGGTAATACTGCACAAAACAGCTGAAAATGTATTCAAAATTATACTGCATAATAGTATTCAAAATTTATTGTAATTAGCAAAAGAAACTGGAAGGGTAGATATGTATCATAAATCATTTACACACACTAAGATGTATTGAAGACAATATCAAAGTTCCTGTCTTTCCTATACACGAAGAAGTAAACACATAAAATCTCTTGCATTATATAGTCAGGCTGTGAATACTGGAAATTAATTATGTGCATCATTATAGATAATAAGCATAATGCAATGTTTAGTAGCATATAGATATGTAACTAGCACTGCATAGAAAACTCCCAATAAAATAAAACATAGATAAACTTATAAATTTAGCGCATAAATTAATTTTATCATTTTTCATAATGATCAGAAATTTTTCATTAATAAATTGCTTAAATAGTGCATACTATTTGTTTAAATTAACTGTAGTTAATACTTTTATTGTTACATGTTAGTATAATTCTAGTTTAAAAGTAATGTTTGATCCAACTCATCAGCTAGAAGACATGAATTTTACCATGTAAATTAATTCATGAACTACATAAAAGCAAAAAACTAAGATACTAAGACATTGATCTGATTGAAGGAATTAATAAAGAAAGTAATTTTGCAAAAATTAATCTCCCTTGTTTGGAGCTTCATAACAGAACTTGTCAAGGGAAAAGTGTTTTGAAGCTCCATACTTGGTCGATTAATAAGAGAGCCAAGACAAATTTCGTTCTGACCTGTTCACTAAGACTCGGAAGTGCAATACTTAATCAATTAGTCAATTAGTAGAATTACAAGTCTCATTGAATTGTCTCTTTTCCCTATTTGCCTTAGCTTTCTAACAGAAATATTTTACAAAAACATGTTATAAAAATTTTGCTTTCAAAATATACAAAGAAAAACAACCTGTGAATCCATGAAAAAGTTTTACTATGAAAAAAGGCAAATATGGAAAAATTCAATTATTAACCTCTGTTAAAGAATTAAAAGAGAAAGCCCTATAAAAACTTTTATTAATTTATAATTATTTATTAATTTTACTACTAAATTAATAAAAGATATATATTTTAAATAATATTCTTATTTAAAAATTTAGTATAATTCTACTACATCAACAAAACAAGCTACCTAACCTCAGCTTGATTTTGGCCAATGTTTAACATAATAGATTAAAATAAGCAGTCATGTCTCTCCAGCATACATGACACAAGTAACCTTTTCCATAATATACCTGATGTTGTTAACACAAAAAAAGCACTTCCCTAAATTACATGCCATATAAGAAATAATTTTAAACATACATTTTGAATTTAAAAAAAAATATGTCAAAATCTTACCTTCACATCTTACAGCATAACTATCTTCAATCCGCTTCCGACAAACACTGCAAAATTTCCTTTTCAAATGCCCTCTCTCTGACCAACAATGGGGAACAGGTTTCTAAAAAACATAAATCTTATTTAAAATTTCCTAAGTGCACTAATACAGGACAAAAATACATTACTATATAACTGTGCTATCATAACAAAAAATAAAAACACAAAAACTGTTGATGCTACTTGAATGATCACTGTCATCACTGAAGGCAATTAGAAATAAACATATCACAGCAAACTCATTTCTTAAACAAATTGAAAAAATTATTCTGCGATGAGGTATACTATTCTGCCATTAACATCCAGATGCTCTGTGGAATATAAGAAATACCACCCTTATGTCATTGAAACATATCATGATCCTATAAAAGGACTATGAGCTAATATTAGACTTGTGTACCCATCTGCTGCTTTCAAAATGAATGCACAATGTGAACTGAGTGAGGTTCAAGCACGATTATAAGTGCTTACCAATTCTGTCATTCCATCCATAAGATTTCAGAGAAGTTTCAGATGCTAGGTGCAAGAGTAAATGATTGTTAAAAATGGAAATTTGAGGAAGTTAAGAAATTTCAATCCTATGTTGGAAAGACAAAAAAATCCATGAACTGGGATAGTCAATATCTTCAATGTTTGATAAAATAAAACAGGCTTCATTAGAAACAGCACTTTGGAATTCTTGGAAAGTGATGTTACTTTACTAATATCTATTATAAGGAGTTTCCATTTTCATTCAATGGCAAGAGGCAGCGGGTACAGGTTTGGCTTGGGTTTTTTGGTTTATGTGATCACAGCTAAGGCCCGTGGACTATCTGCCTAAGGGAATAGATAAACTCGTGGATGACTTTCTAAGGGAAACTGGTTTGGATACACGTTATGCATGGGGAAAACCACAAAAATGACCATGCAGCCAGCCTGTTCATGGGATTGGAATCTCGGACTGAACTACCAGTGGTCAGCAACTTTACCTCTTATCCACTGGTGGGCCTGCAGCACATACAATCCAGTGATATGCTGCTCGTCAACTACACTGATGTAAAGTGCACAGTCGAGCACACAGGAAAACCAGAAGTGTCTCGAGAAGAGAATCACACTACACTTATGGAGGTATGACAACTCCCAAGAATGGTACTTATTAGAATGCCACAGTCCCCACAGTAAAATTTAACAGAGAAGGAATTCTCATGTGCTTCTGTTTTTCTTGGTTTGATCTTGATCAACTAGTCTTTGGGTCTGCAACTCTGTCAAAGGTTATGAAGAGATGAAATGGATCCCATTCCACTACTACATAGTAACATTTTGAAACTTGTCCGTTTGTATTTTAGCATATGTGTCCATTTATGGGGACTGATACGTTTCCTGAAACCACGATATATCAACAACCAAGGCTTGAACTATGGACCTTCCAACTGTTACTTGAACACACTAACCATCTACACAATGACAGGATACAGTGAAGAATCTGATAATTCCATTTACATTCATGAAGCAATTATCAAACCAGAGTGATATGAGAAAACACGAACAAATGAACTTAACTGGCTGTCTTAACTAAACTTGAGCCTATATTGCAACTCAACTAAATATCCTTGAAATGAAACATTGCACCAGCTGTAAGCCAGACCACATTGCTCAAAACCAGTATACAGCTGTTCACCATCTAGAACAAAAATGGTGCAAAACATCACGCATTCACAGAAACTGTCCAAAAAGTAAAAGTCTTACTGGAGTGGCAAGGCTTTTGATATCAGCAAATAGCAGATTATATACATAGAGCTGACATAATGTGAACTCTTCATACAGAGAGATGAGAAAATCTATCCCAGATAGCAGGTAAGGTGTTGGAAATCACAAATGATGCACAACTCACTGTTTGCACAGCATCAGATATAGAACAAAATTCAGTGTTAAGTTCAGCACTAAGCTTAATGACCAAACAAACAGAATAGTTAACAGAACAACTAAGCAAGTTTAACAGCTGTCTCGAAAACAGTACAATAAAAATCCAAGATACCACGATAACAGCAATCGTTCAAAAATTAGGCAACGTAATTTGCATGCAAATCATGCCAACACTGGTTACTGTTACTATCACCAAAAGTTTAAATCTGATGCTCATAAATGTACTCCTCCATGCTCATTTCAAGCGGAAAACTAAATTTCACTGCTATTTTGAAACAAGTCATGGATACTGAAATAGCAGCGAACACTTCCAACAGAGTGCACATATATGAAAAATATGAAGTTTCCTTGTTGACACAAGTAGTGACATTTCCTGCCTTCTGGTGCCAAAAAGGAAAGCATATCACAGCTAGTACTCTACATCTATTTGCTGCAAATAATACTAAAATTAAAACATATGCCATTAAACAACTAACTTGAAATCTCAGGCAAACTTTTAAATGGAATGTGATAATAGCTAATGGTTCAGTTCCCATAATAGGTGCTGATTTTCTCAGCCACTTTTGATTACTAGTCGATTTACAAAAAAAAAAAAAAAAAAAAAAAAAAAAAAAGAATTAGTCGATACATTAACAACTCTTGTTGATAGCGGCAACTTGGAGCACAACTCTCAATTGAATGTTACGACTGTTTCCAAATGCTATCCATATCACCAAATTCTTAGAAAATTTTCAGAGCTCAGTAATCCTTCTATTCATAGCAAAGCAATCAAACATGACACAGTTCATTATACGGAAACTAAAGGATAACCAATCCACTCCAAAGCAAAATTCCGACCCGAAGTTTATCAGGAAATAAAAAAGGAGGTTGAATTAATGATAATACAGGAAATTAGTCGACCCCTCTAAAAGTAACTGGTCATCACCTCTAAATGTAGTACATAAAAAGCCTACTGGCCTTAGACCAGTTGGGAGATTAGAGCATTTAATTCAGTTACAGTTTATGATTCACATCCAATTCCCCACATACAAGATTTTGCATACAGGACTCTTCATGGCAAAACAGTGTTTTCTAAATTGCAAGGACTTATCATCATACACCCGCCCATGAAAAGCATGTACCTAAAACAGCGGTAATTAGCCCTTTTGGTCTTTTTGAGGTTCCTTACTTAAATTTTGGACTAAAAAATGCTGTTCAAACATTCCAGTGTTTCATGCACGAAGTGTTACGATGACTAGATTTTTGTTACACATACCAAGATGACATTCTAGCATTTTTAGAAAATGAAACACTTCATAAACAACATATTTCTAAAGTTTTACACAAACCAAGCAAATATGGATTTAAGTTAAATACTTCAAAATGTGTTTTTGGTGTTCCTGAAATAGAATTCTTAGGCCATTTAATAACCAAGAAAGGCACTAAACTTTTACCTGAACAGGTGAATGCAAACCTGAACTTCATAAAACCAGAAAATGTAACAGACTTCAGGAAGTTTTTAGGTTTACCAAATTTTTACCGTATGTACTTGTCATGTGCAGCCCATAATCAAGCACTATTCAGTGAATATATAAAAGATTCAAAAAAGAATAACAAGCAAAAAATTCCTTGGTCTGTGCAAAGAAGTGAAGCTTTTGAAAATGCTAAACAACAGTTAGCAAATGCTACATTATTAGCACATCTCCGCCAAATGCATCTCTTATTCTTCAAGTCTATACACCTGACTATGCTATTGCAAGGTCAGGATCTCTAAATAAAGTTACTAAAAAAGTACTCGAACGAACCCCTAGTAATTTTCTCTGGAATGCTCACAACCACTAAGGCAAAATACAGTGCCTATGATAGAGAATTATTAGCAATATACCCATCCAGTCGCAAATTTAGATACATGCTACAGAGACATAAATTTACAGTAGTTACTGACCACAAACCATTAATATTTGCTTTTAAAAAAACTTGAAAATTGTTAAACAAGTCAAACTCGTAAACTAGATTTTATTTCTCAATTCACAACTGATATTCAGTACATTAAAGGAACTGATAATATTGTTGCCGACACATTATCTTGCATTCACAAAATAAAAATTATTAGTCCTATTGATTCTGAAGAAATTGCTCAAGCGCAATCAAGAGATGATGAGTTAAAAGAAATACTTAACACTAACAATTTTTTACAAATGAGAACAGTTCAGCTCCCAAATTCAGAAACAATTATATTGTGATATATCTACTGGCATAGCAAGACTTTATATTCCCAAGGCATTTTGAAAATTGTACATAATTTAGCTCATCCAGCCATTCGAAAGACGTCAAAATTAATTTGTAGTCAATATATGTGGCCAAATATCAACAAAGATGTCACGAGCTGGGCAAGACAATGTATTTCATGCCAGAAATCTAAAATATGCAAAAATACTGCAGTCCCTTCACAATCCTTTAGTGAAACTTCTACATGATTTCAACATATTCATATAGATCTCATCAACCCACTTCCACCTTCCCATGAATTCACATATTGCCTAATAGCTATCAATCGGTTTACTAGATAGACAGAAGCTATCCCCATCATCGATATTCAAGCTAAAATAGTAGCAAAAGCCTTCCATGCAAACTAGATCACCTGCTCTGGTGTGCCAGCTACTATTACAACTGACTAAGGATGTCAATTCAAGGTCTTGTTTATTTAAGGCTCTAACTAAACTCCTAGATGTACAACAAATATGCACATCTGCTTATCATCCTCAAAGCAATGGCTTAATTGAGGAATTTCACAGTCTTTCAAAATCTGCTTTAATGTGTCATAACACTCTAAAATGGACGGAAGTTTTACTAACTGTGCTACTTAGCTTGAGACGAGCTCTCGAAACCACTGGTTGCACTCCTGCTGGACTTGTGTACGGAACTACCATTAACCTCCCAGATGATTTTTTTCGCACGTCGACTGTTGCTAATGATTCTGTTGAATACATTGAACAACTTCGAAGTTTCATGCAGCAACTTAAACCAAAACCAATTGGATCACATACAGCAAAAGCAGTGTTTAATCACAAAGATTTTAAAATGCATTCACATGTGTTTGTGCGACGTGATGCAGTACGACGGCCACTACAACCACCGTGCGCGGTCCTTTCGAAGTTCTCAAATGTGGTGACTGTGTTCAAG